CCGTCGGCTTGAACGAGGGATCCCGGGCCGCTTTAGTTTTGTCGTGGCCTCTCCAGTGCTTCTCTGTTCATGCCTGGGTTGCTTCCAGTCCCGTTTCCCCTGCGGGGAACACAGAGGTGGCATGCTCAGCGTATCACAGCAGCGTGGAAAGCCTCTTCTGTTACCACTCCGGTCTCCTTTTGTAAAACCAGATGTCCTTTCCTCCCACCCCCCACCCCCCTTCCCGCCAGTGGCCGGCTGCACCCTGCAACCTCGGCTTGCCTTTGCTGGGGGAACGGTTTGTTTGCTCAGCTGGGTGAAAGCATGGGGTGCTTCGCCAAAGGTTCTGCTCGGCAAGCGGAGGAGAGAGGAATGCCAGCCGGTTGAGCAAGCCCACCTGCGGGGGGCAAGCCAAAAGGGGCCTGCTGCAGGGCAGCTTCAAGTCCCCACCCCACCCCCCTCGCCAGAGGAGTTGCGTCAGGTTGCTTGCTAGGGCTGACACCTCCAGGTTGGGAAATTCTTGGAGATTTGGGGGGCAGGGCCTGAGAAGGATGGGGTTTGAAGAGAAGAAGAGATTGGATTTATACCCCGCCCTTCACTACCCAAAGGAGTCTCAGAGTGGTTTACAAACTCCCCCCCTCCCCACAACAGACACCCTGTGAGGTAGGTGGGGCTGAGAGAGCATTTTTGAGGACTGCTCTTGAGAGAAGAAGAAGAAGAGATTGGATTTATACCCCGCCCTTCACTACCCAAAGGAGTCTCAGAGTGGTTTACAAACTCCTTTCCCTTCCCCTCCCCACAGCAGACACCCTGTGAGGCAGGCGGGGCTGAGAGAGCTTTTTCGAGGACTGCTCTTGAGAGAAGAAGAAGAGATTGGATTTATACCCCGCCCTTCACTACCCAAAGGAGTCTCAGAGTGGTTACCAACTCCTTTCCCTTCCCTTCCCCACAACAGACACCCTATGAGGTAGGTGGGGCTGAGAGAGCATTTTTGAGGACCGCTCTTGAGAGAAGAAGAAGAGATTGGATTTATACCCCGTCCTTCACTACCCAAAGGAGTCTCAGAGCGGCTGACAAACTGCTTTCCCTTCCCCTCCCCACAACAGGCACCCTGTGAGGTAGGTGGGGCTGCTGAGAGAGCTCTGACAGAAACTGCTCTTTTTCAAGGACACCTGTGCCAGAACTACGGCTTGCCCAAGGTCATCCAGCAGGTACATGTGGAGGAGTGGGGAATCAAACCCGGTTCCCCCAGATTAGAGTCCGTGCACTTAACCACTACACCAAATTAGCTCTCTGAGAACAGCTCTGAGAGAACTTGTGACTGACCCAAGGTCATACCAGCAGCTGCACGTGGAAGAGGAGTGGGGAATCCAACCCGGTTCTCCCAGGTAAGAGTCCACACTCCTAACCACTACACCAGCTGGGCCCAATGCTATAGACTCCACCCTCCCAAGCCGCCATTTTCTCCAGGGGAACCGATCTCTGTCATCTGGAGATTACTTGCAATTCAGGGAAACGTTCTGCATGTTATGCCAATAAAGTCCGATTGATTGATTGATTGATTGATTGATTGATTGATTGAATTCGGGGAGACGTTCAGGCAGACCTAGTACTGCTCAGGGTTGCCAACCTCCAGGTGGGGCCTGGAGACCCGGAATTGCAACTGACCTCCAGGCTGCAGAGATCAGCCCCCCTGGAGAAAACGGCCGCTTTGTAGGGGGGACCCTCTGGCATAGGATGCCTTGCCCTCTCCTCCCCAAACCCCACCCTCCCCACGGTCCCACCCCCAAATTTCCAGGAATTCCCCAACCCGGAGTCGGCACCCCTAGGAGTGCTTCCCGCAGGCTCTCTCCTTACCTCCGCCTTATCAGTTGGAATCCTTTGCATGCTTGTAAACCCAGCTGCCCCCTTCCTCCCCCTCCCCGCTTTGGGCTCCGTTCCCACATTCTTGGGTGATCTCCCTCTCCCCCTTCCAGCCTCGGCAAACTGAGGCCGAGATCGCTGCCACCTAAGGGAGCCCGAAAGGCTTTTCTTGCCCCTCCCGGAGGAATTCCCCTGTGTTTGCAGTCACACCTCGGTCCTTTCCTGAGCTAAGCCCACTTAAAGCCCATCGAAAGCCACCCAGTTTGGGTGTGCCAGGCTCTGCTTTCAGCTGGGCTTAAGGACAGGCGGCAGTCAAGGAGAGAGCTCACACACCCCTGCCAGCTGCCCGGCACCCCCCCCACTACACCCCCCCACACACACAAACTCAGCTTGAGACTGGCAGGCCGCTCGCCTCGGGAGGAGGCCTGAGCCAAAGCAGCAAGGAGCCGCTCCAAATTGTCCTGTAATTGCCTATGAGAATGCAGAAGGTCTCCTGCCTTATGCAGGGTTGCCAACTCCAGGTTGGGAGATTCCTGGAGATTTGTGGGTGGGGTTAACGGAGGGGAGGGATTTCAGTGGGATAGAACGCCCTTCAAAGGCGCCGTTTTCTCCAGCGGGACTGATGTTTGTGATCTGGAGATCAGTTGTAATTCCAGGAGATCTCCAGGCCCCTCCTGGAGGTTGAGGAATTCCAAAAACAACATCCATGACAAAAATAACGGCGAGTCAATAAAGATAAGTTGCAGAAACGTTTACTGTAGTAACTTCTTTAGAAAATTGTCTTCTATTATTGCTCACACACTAACGAATACTGCGCAATGAACAATTCGTTTCACAGTATTTGCAAAGACCTTGGGTTCTGTTATTAGAGAGTCAACATGGAATGTTTCCTTCAAGAGCTGATAAGCAGTAATCGATAAGAATTGGGATCGCTGCACGCTCAGATAAAGCAAATATTGTGAAACGAATGGTTCATTGCGCAGTATTCGTTAGCGTGTGAGTGATAATAGAAGAAAATTTTCTACAGAAATTACTACAGTAAACGTTTTTGCAACTTATCTTTACTGACTCTACGTTATTTTTGTCATGGGTGTTGTTTTTGGAATTCCACTTCCTCCCATGATCGTTCATTTTTGGTTCCCACCTGGAGATTGGCAACCAGACATATACAGAGATTTTTGTGTGTGGGTTTTTCAACCATAGAGAGGGTTTTGCATGTCTAGCTGGCAGCCAGAGATTTATTTAGTAGGCACTTTAGCATGGTCTGGAATCCATTCCTCCCCTGTCGATATAACACAGGGAAAACCAGTTGGGGAATTGTGCACCGTTCCCTGTCCCCACACTTTTTGGGCAGGCTTTGCTGTCAGTGTTGTGAAGTTATTGTGTGCGCGGCAAGGCTCACATAGAAGCTGCACAATACGCCTGACCAGTGTTCGGTCCTTAGCACACGACCCGACTCACAGACGTGAGGCAGAAGTTAGTTCCTGGTTCCTTATTTACCTTTCCTAGTTCCTTATTTGCGAATCCAACCACAAATACTGAGGGTAATTTAAAAGCTCTGCACTCAAAATAAGGTTTGGACCACCACGTATCATACACCCACGCATTCAGGGGACCCTGCCACCCAAGTGGACCTATGCCTGAGCCTATCGGGGAGGGCGGGGTATAAATGCGAAAAATAAATAAATAAATAAATAAGTGCCGTCCCTGGGTCCTAAGCTCAGTTCTTCTGCTAACTGCTCCAAAGGGAGGTGCCCCCAGGACAAATACGCATGCAGAAGCTAGGGGAAACAGTACCCCGAAACAATCTGTGGACCCCGTGAATCACAGATGTCCATGCTCTGGAGATGGTCTCCTACAAGAAGACATGCATTGGTGTCTGGTCCAAATACTGGTTCTGGCCCCAAGAGCTTTTATTTTGGTTGCCACTGAGGAACTTACATGGGAAAGAAGATTTGAATAAGGAACAAGAATGCATGCATGACCTCCGTGTTAGATACTGTAACTCTGCATGCAAGAGGACCTGGGAGAGAAAGGGTTAAGAATCCTCTCATTCGGGTACACTTGGCAATTGCCCCCCCCCATCGCTTAGATGTTGAACCTCTTTGTCTGTTGCTCGCCTGCTGTTTTATCTTATATAGCACCTCTGCTCTCTCTCTTACCTGGGCTTGGAGCTGTAGCAAGTTAACCTTTTTTGAAGTTAACCTGTTCACAATAAGTTAAATGCGCCTACATGAATATGTCCTGTAAGAGGCGCTTCTATTTTTGTCAGTAAAAATTTCTTCCTCTTGTTACCACTGGAGTCAGGTCGTCTTTGTAATTTGTTTGAAACAGCATTTTCCCCTTAACCAAGAAACGTGGAGGATCGGGGACACCGCGGAAAAGCTTCTGCGCTTCCAAGTCAAGTGATTCCCCCCCACACACACATTTAACCCCAAAACAATGTTGGAAGCAGTGTTCCCTCTAAGCTGAGTTAGTGTGAGCCAGCTCACAGTTTTTTAGCCTCCAGCGCACACATTTGTACCTTAGCTCAGGAAGGATGGCTCCAGGGCAAACTAATTTATGTAGTAGCCAAATAGCTCGCTCACAGCTTTAAAGCCAGTAGCTCACGAAGTAGAATTTTTGCTCACAAGACTCCACAGCTTAGAGGGAGCATTCGTTGGAACCACCGCGTATCGTACATCAGGGAATGTACCTCAAACAATGCTTATTTTCTCAGCACTGCGAGAGGGGAGAGGGGGCTTCCAGTTTCCTTCCCACCCCACTTTTGCCAGCAGAAAGGGAGGTGGGGGAGGGCTTTTACCCCTTTTCGGTGCCTGCCCACGGCCTTCCTAGTGACTGGGAGTCTGTGTGTGCACTTGTGACCAGTATTCCCTCTAAGCTGAGTTAGTGTGAGCTGGCTCACAGTTTTTAGCCTCACACATGTTTGTCTTAGCTCAGGAAGGAGGGCTCCAGAGCAAACTAACTTATGCGGCAGCCCAATCACTCACTCACAACTTTAATGCCAGTAACTCACAAAGTAGAATTTTTGCTCACAAGACCCCACAGCTTAGAGAGAGCATTGCTTGTGACCCGGCACTCATGGGGTGTACCATGCAGTTGCACCCTTAGTTGCGTTGCTGAGGATGAGAGACCTTTTCTGCTTCCTTGCGGCGCAGGCTGGTGGTTGCGGTGGAAGAAGCGTTCACCCACATTAAGCGTCCCCAGGCGGAGGAGCAGCAGAAAGCCCCGGGAGAGGTGATGGACCCCCGAGAGGCGGCGCAAGCCATCTTCCCGTCCATGGCAAGAGCCCTGCAGAAGTACCTCCGCACGACTCGGCAACAGCACTACCACACCATGGAGAGCATTCTGCAGCACCTGGCGTTCTGCCTCACCAACAACATGACCCCAAAGGTAGCGCATCCGTGGGACAGTTTGCACGTGCCCTGCGCGGGTGCCCCCGAATGCAGCTTCCCGGAAAGCTTAGCGTTCGTTTACAACCAGAATTTCCGGCCATTAAAGCGCGGGGGGGGGGGCGCCATCGTTTTTGAGCCTCCGCGCACCTTTGGAATTCTGACACAGGGCGGTGGGCGCAACCATAAAATGGCTGCCACGGGAGGGGGAGCCAGTTACAAAATGGCAGCCACGGAGTCGGGGCCAATCACAAATGATCAGGGAGTGAGGTCATCTATAACTGTGATGGCAACTCTTCAGCCTTTCAGGCAGATGCTCTGTTTAACAGGATGCCTTTCCATTGGCACAGCCACACAGAAGCCCTGCTGGGCAAAAGACCTGCCCAGTTCTAAAAGTACTTGGCAGGCTGCAGGAAAGGGCCCCCCGGTGCCAACGGGCATCGTGCTGGGGACCACTGCCTTAAAGCTTAACGGTGCCTGGGCAATGCCTGTAGGAAATCTGGGTGGCAGGTTTCGGGGCGTTGGGTATCAGTGCCCCATGATTGACAAAACTAGAATGAATGATGCAAAACAGGAGACATTGCAGCACGGACGGTTTTCCCTGTAACCTGCTGGTTTCATTTGCATCATCTATACAAGTTTCAGGATTATACTTTTCTTGGTGCAAAATTTCATTTTCCTTTTAGGTCATAATTCCCAGGTCCCTGCATGATGAGCCTAGACCAGGGGTCTCCAACATGATGCCCGTAGGGGCATGATGCCTGCAAACACCTTTCCTGGTGCCCACTGAATGTGCCCACCAACGGCCAGTTTGGGCTGAGAGAGCTCTCTTGAGAACTGCCCTTGAGAGAACAGCTCTGAGCAGACTTGTGACTGACCCAAGGTCACATCAGCAGCTGCATGTGGAGGAGTGGGGAATCAAATCCGGTTCTCCCAGATTAGAGTTCGCGCTCCTAACCACGACACCAAACAATAGCCTTAGTCATTCCAGTTTCTTACTTGGTCCTGGAAATGAATTTATTGATGATGCATTTATTTATAGCCCACTTTTCTCCCCAGTTGAGGGTAAAAGCAGGTCTTAGAACATCATTCTTTCCTCCACCGTTCTTTTATGACAGCAGCCCTGTGAGGTAGGCCAGGATGAGAGTTTGTGATAGGCCCAAGTCAGGGCTCTTTTTGTAGCAGGAACTCCTTTGCATATTAGGCAACACACCCTTAATGTAGCCAATCCTCCAAGAGCTTACAGTAGCCCCTGTAAGAAGAGCTTTGTAAGCTCTTGGAGGATTGGCTACATTAGGGGTGTGTCGCCTAAGATGCAAAGGAGTTCCTGCTACAAAAAGAGCCCTGGATCGGACCTGGGTCACCCGGGGTCCTAGTCCACCATTCTATCCAGTACACTGCCCTGGTTCAGTATAAGCTTCATGTGCCCACAGTGTGATTGCTGTAGGTGTTAAATTGTAGTGCTTGCATTCTGGGAAGAACCAGATTTGGGGGGGGGGGGGGGGAAAACCAGAGTCCAGCAAGGTCCAAATGTCTCAAGCCTAGCTAAACCATTATTTTGTCACATTGCTGTCCCCATTTGGTTCCCTGACTCACCCTTCCTTCCTTCCGACGATTTTTGCAGTAGTGAAATTCCCTGCATTGACTTTTTTTTAAAACTGCATGTTATATGAAATTTCCCACAGTAGATCTTTCCTCACCAGGCGCAAACCCAACGTTTTCTCCTCCTTACGCCGCGTTATTGGAATTCTCTAAAACTGGGGATTCCGAAAACACGGGGTAAGAAGGAGAAAATTTTGGGTTTGCACCTGGTGAGGAAAATTCTACTGCGGAAAATGTCACATATAATGCACAGTTTTAAAAATGTCAGTGCGGGGAATTTCACCACTGCAGAAAATGGTCTGAGAGTCCTGTTGCGCAGCACAGTCAATACGATCAAGGGAGCTTTCCAGTCCTAGAGCTTTTGAGAAAGTTCTGCCTCCAGTGAGGACAGGCACATCCCGTTTTGGACCGAAAAGGACAAAGCGACCCCGTTTTCAGTTGGAATGTGATTTTATCTCCTCCCAGTTCTCACCTCCTGTTCCCCTTTTCTCGGCACATGGAACAGAATAAGTGTTCTTCATTCCCTTCTCTTCAGTTGCTGCACTGAAACTCTCTGTCTGTTCGGCACCAGCCTTTCCCAAGCATCTGGAGCACACCCCCGTCTCACGGTTTATTAGGTCTCTGCTCCACTTTGCATTGCAGCCTGAGTGTCAAACAAGCTTGGCATCAAAAGTTCCTGGCAGAATTTCCCCTGCACCCCACCCCAGGGTTTGCACCGAAGAACTTGTAAAGTGGCGTATCAAGCAAGCACCTTGAAGCAAAACTCGTTCTTCTGGGTGTGGGTTTCTCAAAGGGTTTAGCTGCCAAAACACTGAGTGGGAAGTTAGTTGTGCTTTCACTCGGTGGGGTTCTGCCAGTTGAACCAAGGAGGGCCAGGCCCAGGGAGGAGAAGCTCAAGAGTGCTGCCGACAAGGAAGGGGGCTTGGTCTGGCATTCAATCCACTGGCTCCCAACAGCTGCCTTGAGTTACTCCCTCACTTGTTTATGGCGAGTAGTAGAAAGGCCCGGAAAGGGGAATAGATACGGCAAGTAGTAGAAACACCCGTAAGGGGGAATAGATACGGTGAGTAGTAGAAAGGCCCGAAAGGGGGAATAGGGGGAAGTAGGAGGAAGGCCTGGAAGGAGGAATATATAGATACAGCGAGTAGTGGAAAGGCCCGGAAGGGGGAATAGATACAGCGAGTAGTGGAAAGGCCCTGAAGGAGGAATAGATACGGCAAGTAATAGGAAGGCCTGGAAGGGGGAATAGATATGGTGAGTAGTGGAAAAGCCCGGAAGGGGGAATAGATAGATACAGCGAGTAGTAGGAAGGCCCGGAAGGGGGAATAGATACGGCGAGTAGTAGGAAGGCCCGGAAGGGGGAATAGATACGGCGAGTAGTAGGAAGGCCTGGAAGGGGGAATACATAGGACAGGCTGATGTCATTTCCCTCTTTGGTTCTGGGGCTGCTAATACAGCACAATGGTTGACAGGGCTTCCACACTCTGTGTGTGTGTGTGTTACATGCCGACAAGTCAATTCTGACTTATGGTGACCCTATGAATTAATGACCTCCAGAACGTTAACAGCCTTGCTCGGGTCTTGCAAACTGAGGGCCATGATGGCTTCCTTGGGTGAGTCCATCCATCTCACGGTGGGTCTTCCTCTTTTTCTGCTGCCATCAGCTTTTCCTAGCATTATTATCTTTTCATGATGTGACCAAAGTATCCAGTTTGGTGTAGTGGTTAGGAGCACGGACTCAAATCTGCGAGGACCGGGTTTGATTCCCCCACTCCTCCACATAAACCCAGCTGGGTTAGTCATAAATTCTTTCAGAGCTGTTCTCTCAAGAGCAGTCCTCAAAGGAGCTCTCTCAGCCCCACCTACCTTACAGGGTATCTGTTGTGGGAAGGAGAAGGGAAAGGCGATTATAAGCTGCTCTGAGACTCCAAGTGAAGGGCCGGGTATAAATCCTATCTCCTCCTCCTCCTCCTCCTCCTCCTCTTCTTCTTCTGTGACCAAAACAAAAGCTTGATCATTTTAGTTTCTAGGGAGTTTTAAGAATTGGTAATATAATAGTGTTATAGTGAGATAGCGATATACCATTATATCAAAATTTGCATCTGGTTGCCTGAATTCCCCGCTTTCATTTTTTTTAAAGTAAGTCTTTCGAACCCTTTTCATTATGGAGATGTGCCTTTCCCCATATATCTCTGCAAAGAAGGAGGCTAGAAACTTACTTGGGGGTGGGTGAGAATCAGAGCTGCGAATTCAGGGAACTTGATGTTTATTTGGGTATAATAGCATATCACTATAATGCTATTAAATCACCAGTTGGAAAAAGGAAAAGGGAAGCCCTCTGAAGTAGAGAGGGAAATGGCTACTGCAGAGGAAACGGCTGCTGTGTGGCAGAACCAGGAAAACCTGAACTTTTCCTTCCACACGGCAGGCGTCCAGGCTTTGCCACAATCTTTCCCAAAACTTCAGAGGAAAGTGGGTTTGACAGAGATGGGAGAAAAGCCAGGGAGACCTCGGGTAGTATCCAAATGCACCACGGTGCCGTGGGGAAGCAGGGGGAGGAAACCTACTTCTCAACAGCATCAAACTCAGGGGAAATAACCTGTACAGAAACACCTGTAGCCTGGTGAGTAGTTTGGTGTTGTGGTTAAGTGCAAGGACTCTAATCTGGGAGAACCAGGTTTGATTCCCCACTCCTCCACATGCACCTGGCTGGATGACCTTGGGCAAGCTGTAGCTCTGATAAGAGCTGTTCTTGAAAAAGAGCACTTTCTGTCAGAGCTCTCTCAGTGCCACCTACCTCACAGGGTGTTTGTTCTGGGGAGGGGAAAGGAGTTTGTAAGCCGCTCTGAGATACCTTTGGGTAGTGAAAGGCGGGGTATAAATCCAATCTCTTCTTCTTTCTCCTCTATGAATGTACGAACCATGAGGTACGGTGGCCCGGCCGGTTCCTAGACCTCACTGTTTTCCCTTTCTGTTTAGGCCTTCCTGGAGCGTTACCTCAGCCCATGTCCGACCTTGCAGTACGACAGGGACCGTTGGTTGTCCAAGCACTGGACGCTGGTTAGCGAGGAAGCCGTTACCAAAGGATTAAGGGACGGGGCGGTGTTTGTCCTCAGATGCCTGGACTTCAGTCTTGTCGTGAACGTGAAGAAAATCCCCTTCATCAAACTCTCGGAGGAATTCATTGACCCGAAATCTCACAAGTTTGCCCTCCGCTTACAGTCCGAGACATCTGTCTAGGGAGGCACGTGCCATGGGGGTAAGAAGAGGGCATTTCCCAGCATCCTGCTTTTGGCTTTGGGGAGTTTTAATTCTTCCCCATTATCCTGAGTGAAACCGACAAGAGACGGATCAGGAATATTTTGTCCATCGGCACTTTATCTGGAAAGGGGGGGGGGGGTCGGGGCGATCTCTTCAGAAAGACCCGAAGAGGATCAGCTTAGGTTAAGTCATCAGGAGTGAATTCCCGGCCTCGGGTTGTACACATCGCAGCTGACGTGGCGTTCCACTTTTCCTTGGCACCTTGCCTTAGACAAGCGGGCGTATGAATTCCACTGCCCCGCCCTGCTAGGCTCCAGCTCTCTATGGAAAGTCCTTGCTTTGCTTAGCCTCTGACACCGTCAGCTTTGCTTCAGTTCAGACACCGCACCACACCCCGGCTTGTGCTCGCCATACTTTGGGGCCCGAGCCTGAATCTGAGTTTCCAAAAACACCACCTGCAAACCCATGACTCGGAGCTGTCTGGTTCCGTTTCATTTCCCGGGCTCTGCTTCATAACGTTCGGTCGTGAAAAGACAGGGCGGCGAGGGACCGCGTTTTGTCACTGGGGACATTGAGGCGCGGCAAGCCACGATGAAGTTTGCCAGACTGTGGTCCGATGGGATGTCTGGACTGAAGGGAGTCTGCAGTCTGGCTGCTGGGTGGCGCCAGTCAGGGGCGAGGGGTGGGGATGGCAGATCCTCCTCATTTATGGACCTTGAGACAAAAACGCTTCCACGTAACTCCAACTTTCTGGGGATGGGGGGCAGCCTCTGGGGCGGTTCCCTTCAGTTCTCTTACATGGTGGCTGACCCCTTGTGTGTTTCCGGACAGCTAAGGGCCTGTGGATCCCAGCTTTCTTCCTTTCTGTTTCCCCTGCCCTTTCAAGCTTCAGCAGCCCTTTCCTTGGCGGAAGGGGGCTGTTCGTTTTTCAAATCTTCGCAAGGTTTGTCTTTTCCCCCCCCCCCCCCCCGTATATCCAGTATTTACTCCCATGCAAGATTTAGGGATCCCCTGGAATTACAGCTCATCTCCAGACTACAGAGATCAGTTTTCCTGGAGAAAACGGATGCTTTGGAGGGGGGGGGGGACTCCGGGGCATTGCACCCCACTGGGGTCTCTGTCCTCCCCAGGCTCCATCCCCAGATCTCCAGGAGTTTCTCAGCTTGGATCTGGCAACCCTATCCCCCTCATCCTCCACTGGTGACCAGGGAGGAACTGGCAATCCTTGTAAGATTAGGTTTTTCCCTCCAGGTATGCCATCAGAGTAAGGAGCTGTGGTGGCTCAAGTGGTTAAGACGCTGAACTGCAGGCTGGAAGGTCAGTAGTTCAGCCATTCAAGACCCAAGTGCCGCATGACGGAGTGCTGGCCACATGACCATGGAAACGTCTTCGGACAGCGCTGGCTCTTCAGCTTGGAAATGGAGATGAGCACCGCAACCCTAGAGTCGGATTCGATTGGCTTTCGAGCAAGGGAAACCTTTGCCTTTACCTATGCCATCAGAAAGACTTGCATACAAGTTACAGTTACGTCCAGTAAAAATTTGGGGAGGTTTATAATATTTTTTTTGGGGGGGATCTTATTTTAAGTGTTCCTTTCCTTTTGAGTAAATGCAGTATTCAGAAAGTTCCAGGGTGGTTGAGGAGAGTGAGATGTTTACATGAGTCCGACCCCTGTGATTGTGACGCGAGCATAATTCTGCAGGGGTGGTTCCCTGCTTTTAAATATTTCCATTCTCTCCCAGATAAGAGATTAGTGGTTTCTGACTTCCCGCACAGGCCTGAAGGGGAATTTTGTGTATGAAGCAGCAGGTTGGCCGCGATACCTGAGAAATCGAGACCAAACTCTGTTGAACGTTGTTGTTTCCCTGGGTCCTCAGATTTTGGCTGGTCCTGGTGACCAGTCACTTGTAAGTTGCTGGTCTCTCTCCCCTGAATCCTTTGGTGCACACGCAAAGGAGCAGTTCTTCTGATCTTCAGGCCGCACACAGTTTGGAGTCGCTCTGACAAAGTTGAGGGTATCTTTCATGGCTTCTGGAAGGTCCTCTCCAGACAAAAGTGGGAGGCTGACCTCCTCCCAGGCCCGTAGCCAGGATTTTGTGGCTTGTGGGGCAGATCTTTTTCTGGTGGGAATGAAGTTCTCAGCGCAGAAAGAAAAGCCATTTAGCCAATAGAAAGCTGTTAACAAGAGAGATCTCTAAACTGCAAGCTGTCAGCCACTTTAGATGACAGTTCTCAGCTGCTGCAAGTTAATCACTTCTGCCAGCCTAAGCAAGAGTTCTGAGAACAAGCCGGCAGGTGGGGGTGATGCCTTCTATAGTCCAGAAAGCTAACACTGAGGCAGAAAAGACTCTCTTACAGGAGACCATTTTCTTGACACAGAGTTAGAAGGGATCCTAGAGGTCACCTACTCCAACCCCCTTGCTCAGTGCGGGAATTAGTCAACTACAGCACCCCACTCTGCACACGGCTTTTTAAAAATGTTTTAAAATGATTGAAAAAAGCATTTAGGGGAGAAATGCTTGTGGGGCTGTGCCTTTAAGAAAGGGGGCGGAGCCCCTCAAAGTGCCACCATAGCTATGGGCCTGCCTGCTTCCCTCTTCCAAGTTCTCTATGTGTGCCCAAGAACTTCAGAGAGGGGCATGGTCTGTCTCTCCAGATCCCTGTCACACCTCTGAGGTTGTCTTCGGCTGGAGAGTTGTATGCAGGGTGCCCTGCTTCATGATACAATGCGTGGCCAACTACATTTGTAGGTTCCTTTCTGGCATCGGCAGTGTGAATCTCTTTGTTCTTCACCCTGGTCCCAAGATTCTTTCAGGGGCCGTTCTTGTAAGAAAGCCGATTAAATTTTTAAAAAATACACATTCAAAATAGATAGTTAATAGGCCAAATTTTAACACAAATGTCAGTAGCAAGACTCTGATATTACACAGCCTCTGATATTACACAGTTGCCCAAAATAGTGTTAATCATAGCTAACACCCCTTGCCGTACTTCAGGTTTAACTCTGTTCCAGTAATTAACAAAAAGAAGAGACCAAATGATCAAAGAATACAGATGTGTTGAATGTGTTTCTTTATCCCTCAAAACGCCCCCAAGACGTTAGTATGTGCATAAGACCGTCTGCCGCGCATTTCTCAGCGATTCCTCCCACCACAAAGCAAGCTGAGGGAATCCCTGTTTTGCCAAGAGTTCTTTAGCTGTCAGTTGTCCCGTTGTGTTTCCTTCTCACAGGACCTTTTAGATAACTAATTACAGACTCGGGGATTTCATGATCTTCTCATTTCTCTAATAATTTGTTAAGCATTTTCCAACTCACCTACAGTTTACCTGTGAGGGGGAAAAGTTGGCATTCATAGATATCACTTCTGGGGATGGTACAGTTGGCACACTTTTTGTTGTTGCTGGGGTTTTTTTCCAGTGACACATTCAATATCTTAAGAAGAGCCTTGCTGGATCAGACCAGTGGTCCATCCAGTCCAGCCTCCTGTCTCACACAGTGGACAACCAGTTCCTCTGGATGGCCAACAGCAGGGCATAGAGGCCCAGGCCTTCATAAGAACCTCAGAAGAGCCTTGCTGGATCAGACCAGCAGCCCATCTAGTCCAGCATCCTGTCTAACAGAGTGGCCAGCCAGTTCCTCTGGAAGTCAAACAGCAGGGCACAGAGGCCAAGGCCTTCCTAAGAACATCAGAAGTGCCCCACTGGATCAGACCAGTGGTCCATGTAGTCCAGCCTCCTGTCTCACACAGAGGACAACCAGTTCCTCTGGATGGTCAACAACAGGGCATAGAGGCTGAGGCCTTCCTAAGAACCTCAAAAGAGCCTTGCTGGATCAGACCAGTGGTCCATCTAGTCCAGCCTCCTGTCTCACACAATGGCCAACCAGTTCCTCCGGAGGGCCAACAACAGGGCATAGAGGCCGAGGCCTTCCTAAGAACCTCAGAAGAGCCCTGCTGGATCAGGCCAGTGGTCCATCTTGACCGGTATCCTGTCTTCACACAGTGGCCAGCCAGTTCCTCTGGATGGCAGAGGCCGGGGCCTTCCCCTCATGTTGCCTCCTGGCATGGGGGCATTCAGAAATTTCCTTGCCTCTAAAAGTGGAGGTTCCCTGAGGGATCCATCCTCCATGTATCCTTCATATATAGCTGCAGGGTTTTTTTAATAGGCTCCTTTCTTAAGACATTTCCTTTAGGATTCCTCTTTACCCTCAAGGAAGTCTTTAAAAGCTTGTTTTCCTCAAATGGTTATCCTGTGTCTCAATCGGAACACATTATCTTCTGCTCCACTGAAATGAGGGAGGTTCAAACCTGGAGCTAAATTTCCAGGCCAAAGTCTCTCTTGGTAACTGGCTGGGCTGACCTCCTAAGGAGGGATGATGCGGGATGTGTGGGGGATCTGGCTCTGACATCTGTCGCCCCATGCCCGGCTGGCTACGCGGCTGTCCCCGCCCTCCCTCCCCGCTCCATGTGCATCCCTCCCGAAGCTGTGCATTCGGTCGAAGAGGACGACCATCCCAGATAGAAGGAGCGTACCGTACCGTTCTCCGGTCAAGAGTATACGATAGCTGCGCTCCCCTGCTAGAACCTCCGAACGAGCACAAGGAGGGATGACGCGAAAGACTTCACCTGGAGAGAGCCTTTGCCAGTCTGAGTGGATGATATTTGTTTATTTTATTTATTTAACAAAATTTAGACCCTGTTTTTCTGCCCTCTTAATGGACACAAAGGCAGCTAGTAAAGCAAAACACATAGCAAAATAACAATTTTAAAAACAGCAGTTGCAACATAAGTTAAAACATTTTTTAAAACCCCAATTAAAACAGGAAGGAGAGATCACCGAGGGGAGGTCAGATTAAATGAAAATGCCTCGACCCTGCTGGTGGAAGACGGCAACAGAAGGGGGTAGATGAGCCTCTCTGGGCAGAGCGTTCCGAAACCTGGTGCCTCCAAAAGAAGGTCATTTCTCCAGGTTGCCTCTCAGAAGGTGGGGGCACCCGAAGAAGGCCCTCCAAAGATGACCGGAATGGGTGTAGGCAGGGGTCATTTCCTGCAGGAGCGCACAGGAGTGGAGCTCTGGCAGTAAAGAGCCCAGGGGGCGGGCACATGCAATGCAACAAGCCCCACCCCCTGCTCCCAGCAGCCCTCAGTCAGAGCAAGAAGCAGCCCAGTCTCCCGGTCCAAAACAGTCCAGTGGCACCTTTAAGACCAAGTTTTATTCAGGTACAAGCTTTCCCTCCTCTGCGAGGGCAGATCTTCACGTCCCCCCCCCCAATAGCTAGCAATCCAAAACAGCAGTGGAGCCTGAGCGGTGGCTGTTGCCTTCTGACACACTTCCGGTGATGCCAGGGGGTGTGGCATATGCAAATAAGTTGTGCTAATGAGCTCCTGCACCTCTTTTTCTATGAAAAAGGTGGTCCTTGATAGATGAAGGGGCTGATTCATCTTCATGTGTTCAAGGGCGGATGAGCTAAGCGACAGAACAGTGTATTCTGAGCACAGAGTGGGAATGTCAGTTTAAAAAAAAAAAGACTCACA